ATCCTAAACAGCCACCGTGACATCCTTGTCAATTACTGTTTCAGTTCTGTAACTTCCGTTGTGCATTTGCATGTTCAATTTAAGCTTCAAGCTATGTAAAGTTTGAACGAAAGTGATAGTTCTGCTGATCGATGATCGAATGTTTGAAAGCCGCAGCAGGGCCTGGCCCAAAAACTCTGAAGCAGGCCCACGGCTGCTCTCTATAATGTTCGGCTGAGATCGATCTGACAATGATATGGTATGCAAGAATAGCAGAGGGAGCCTCGTGTTCAGCTTGATGCTTCATGGGTGAATAGATTAGTAGGGCGAGCAGTGTCTCTGACTTGATGTTTCACTCTCGAAGGTTTAAAATCGCTTTTGCATCAAGGTTGGTGTCTAATTTGATACTTCAATACTACAGGTACAGGTGAGATAAAAACGTCGGACTTTGGTAGTTATTGGACCTCAGAGGGACGACCCAGACAACTGCCAGCGGTCTCGGAGACGTCCTAGCGCTTCTACAACCTTAGGCTAGAATGATTTTAGAGAGGCGAAACTCAATATTGTACTCAAGACATACCTTCGTCGACATCTGTGTCATCCTTAGTGTCTGTGCATCTCTCGTTAGACAGGACATAAGAATACAGAGGAATCGAAACGTACATTGGCCCCCGTAAACGTTGCGCTTCTCGACATCTGTGTCATCCTTAGTGTCTGTGCATCTCTCGTTAGACAGGACGCGAGAATACAGAGGAATCGAATCGTACATTGGCCGCCATAAACGTTGCGCTTCTCGACATCTGTGTCATCCTTAGCGTCTGTGCATCTCTCGTTAGACAGGACACGAGAATACAGAGGAATCGAAACGTACATTGGCCACCGTAAACGTTGCGCTTCTCGACATCTGTGTCATCCTTAGCGTCTGTGCATCTCTCGTTAGACAGGACGCGAGAATACAGAAGAATTTAAACGTACATTGACCCCCGTAAACGTTGCGCTTCTCGACATCTGTGTCATCCTTAGCGTCTGTGCATCTCTCGTTAGACAGGACGCGAGAATACAGAAGAATTTAAACGTACATTGACCCCCGTAAACGTTGCGCTTCTCGACATCTGTGTCATCCTTAGCGTCTGTGCATCTCTCGTTAGGCAGGACACAAGAATACAGAGAAATCGAAACTTACATTGGCCGCCATAAACGTTGCGCTTCTGGACATCTGTGTCGTCGACATTCTTGTAAGACGGTTGCGAAAACCATGTCAGTGCTACAAGAGAAATACCTTGGGAGCGCTCTGACGCAGCGGGTGCTGCTGCTGTCATCTGCAGGAGAGCGATGGAGACGAGAACAAGCGACAACAATCCTTTCATGATTGCTAGATGTTACGGTGAAGTGATTGTTGGAATTTCACTGGGGTGCTGAGTGCACTTCGATTCCAGGAATATTGCTTTTATATTGCTACAAGCTCGATTATCAGACTCACTGACTCAGGCCTTTTTGTTTTGTGTATTTGTTCAGGTAATTCATTCTGCCATTTGTCTTTCTTGAGCGTCCAGTTTGCAATATATTCAATAAGAAGTGAGCAACTTCGTCGGACATACCGTCACAGATGAATCTGCCAACCGGACGAGTGAAAAGGGGATCGAGAACTAACAGCGGTAAGCCACTGAAAAGACAAAGAACAGCGTCGGACATACCATCACAGATGAGTCTGCCAACCGGACGAAAGAAAAGGGGCTCGAGAACTAACAGCTGAAAAGACAAAGAACAGCAAACAATATAGAGTCCCGGATGAAGCCCTGAAGCCCGGCCCGGCCGCGAACAAAAACCGGGCTTTAGAGTCTTTGGCTGGGCCTGCGGCTTTCAAACATCCGATCATCGATTAGCAGAGCTATCACTTTCGTTCAAACTTTAGAAAACTTGAAGCTTAAATTGAATATGCAAATGCACAACCGAGGAATTGACAAGGCGGTCGCGGAGGATCACTAGGGCGGTAAGAAAAAAGCCCGAGACAATGAGTCTGCAAGTGAGTCTGCGGACTGCAAAATCATGTTCCCTGTGCGAACGATGAAGTCAGTGACGAGATCATATGCGGAGTCGCCAGATGATCGGGTAAAACGCCATTGACCAGATGACCCAATGGTGCAGAGACACTCACACGTCACTAGTTCAGGATGCACGCAACTCATTTGCTTCATGGCTACCAGGAAGTTCCTCTTCAACACGTTCTGTTGCCGACTCCTTAGCTCCTTAACTCCTCCAGTCGCTCTTATCATATCGGATCAAGAATTTCCAGATGATGGAAGGTCTGCTGTGTTAACGTGCGGCAAACGCATGATGAGCAAGCAGCGTGTCAATATGACGCTTCTGAGGTAGAAGATCCCAATTTCGCGACCATTCGAATGTTCGACGAGAAGTTGGACATCATCAAGGAGTGGTAGGATAAAATGAGTACTGATGTTCATAATGTCGCGGAATAAGCAACCACGTGACCAGCCGAGGCTCTTGAAAACGGCGGTTTGTGCATAATGCCAAAGGTCGGAGTGCTGTTGCTATCGTTTCTTTTACATATCCGGATCTTCAGATCCACCACCACGCCACGACACGTAGTCATTGCCACCGGGTAAGTTATCTTCAAGTTCAATTAATTTCCTTGCGCAGAGCTCCTTGCCAAGCATGCGTGTCATGATTATAACTGCTACGTCACCAGCTACAATTAATTTCCTTTTTTGCTTATAGACAACCTGGTGGTGCCGCACCTCCTCGGACATCATCTACTCCGCTGCTTCTACCTTATCAGACAGTGTCGAGAAGCAGCTCACAGAACTTCCCGGGGATTGGAAACCTCCCTCAGAGTCCCGCGCTCGGAAGAACTTTGCCTTTCTCTGCACTTTCACTCTCACAACAGCCAAATCATGGCTCGAGGTGAGAAAGGAAAGCAGCTGGCGGAAGTATAATGATTGCTTGTGCGACGAGACGGTGGGTCTCCATGTGGGCGTGGATATACCGTTTATTCTATTCTGTTTTACAAGCATGTTTCGCATTCGTAGCGATCACTGTTTTTTTTGCAAGTATGGCATGCATCCGGAATCCACCACCTGGCGCTCAAAATCTCGACGCCACTTCCATGGGGTATTGTGTTGCGCAACTATACGCGTCGTTCCTGCTCTCCATCATAGGACTATTTTGCTAGGCGTACTTCAGCAGATCAATAGATTTGTATGCCATTTGTAAGAAGGTAGACAAATATCCGAAGTGCACAGCCCTGTCATTGATCTAAATAATACTCAGGACAACAAACCGCTCGAGTTAAGACGTGACAATATCTTGTATCACGTCGGCTTATTTCGCATGGCGCAGTTCTTTCTTTCCTACTCTTTGGCATTTGTCCTGGGCGGTATGCTTGCCTCTTTGGTTCAGTTTCGGTGCTGACTTTCTGCCAGCTCTTCTATCATCGCTCTAGGGATGAATTACATTACCTCTCTTGCGGTAGTTATCACGCTCTACATACTCTTGGATGCTGTATAATGTTACTTTCGCGTGTCTTTCATTTGCTAGCGTGTGGTTCGGTATTTTCGCCCATTACAAATTGTTTACAGAATCGTGATACTACCAGTGTGTGTTTCTATCATTACATTTAATTGATTTGTGGACTTTGAAGCATTCGATCTTCCTCTGGCGCCCTCGTCATCGAGTCTTCAAAACAAAACACTAATAGCAACGCTCGACCCGAACTCGGATGGCTTGATCATTTCTTGGTTCGGGGAGCAACTCGATATGTAGCAACCACTAAGTGGTTTTCATGGTCAACACAATACTTGGAAGACAACACAATTGTTTCTCCCGCTGTACTATGTTCACGGCCCTAAATGTAAGCAATAAATTCCTCTAGTTCTACGTCATGACAAATCTGTTTGATCACGGATGGTCTAATCTCACATCTGGGCAGCCACTGGCAACGATCTTAGGCCGAGTTCTCGAGAACGCATCATTTGTAGATGTATACTATGGAAATATTCTGACAAAAAAGGATATAAATTTTCGATTTTCAAATCCGTTTGCATGCTGAAGCCAGCCTCAGGTAATTTCAAACCACAGCCAACCTATAAGTAGTCCAGTTGCAAATACCGCATCAGAAAAGCCGTAGCTACCTTGAAGGACGGCCCGAGTAGCTTAATAGGTGGTTCCTGTAGTAAGATTCTATGCGTCATGATAAAGGTCCTATTCATATACTGCGCACTCGTAGTTACAACGAAAGGGTCAACACAAGCGTGTCCAATTCCAAGCACAAACCACTAAGCCCGCCTCAAACCTCACTAGTTTGACTAGTTTGACTTTTTGTCGAGTTCGTCTGCATTTGCGAAGGCTGCCCATAGCGGGCATCTGAAACCAACAATGGCAGGTCCGTGTCATGTGCACGACTGTCACTACTCCGAAGGTGAAATAGAATTCGCGAGGCTAGGACGCTGTGAATGACAAGTTGTAGCCTAAACGCAGTGAGTTCGTAGTTGGCACCCAAGGGCAGTTCAACCGGCGACATACGTATCAAACATATTTGTAAAGCCAACCTGCACCCAAGCAACAGAAGATAAGTCACTACATATAGTTTAACAGACATGTATACGCACCGGAAATGCTGCGTCGATGATTACATTGGTCACCGTTATGGCTTTGCGAAACGAATTAAACAATGATGTTAACTTGCAGCCAGTTATTTCTACACACCGATGATGCACAGCATGTAAAGCATGCTACCACCGTAGACGGTGGTTACGATCGAGCTATGAATCTCCGAGTTCCGGTAGTCGTGGAACCACTTATATGCAGTAAGGATCAGTATGACTGCCAGGTTTCGCTTGTAGGTTAGGTGCCCGGTGCTATGCCCTGCATAACCACTAACCACATTCGAAAAGTCCCAAGATAGCATATACCAATGCAGCATTCCTCGACGACTCAAAGCCGCAAGGCCCGGGTATCATAGATACATCTGATAACCATATTAAAACAACACGTGTTGGTAAATACGAACGAAGTCACCTGATGAAATCAACTGATGATTGGGAAGGATGTTCATAGTAACGGCGCCTATTACTGTCGCCTATTGCAAAGTTAAAGATATATGTCCTTACTCCAGCCTGTGGAACACGCACCATGCTATAAGTTAACAATCCAATCAGCAATTTTTTGCTCTTTTTCCAGAATGCCCAGGTCCGAATAACCAGCAAGCCTGTCAAAGAAGCATGATCCACCTTGTTCTTGGCAAGGACGGCGATGTATGCGACTCGCACCTTCCGCAGCAACGATGCTTATAATATGAATAACTAAAGATCGCATGATTAGGCTGAGCCAAAATTAGTCACTGCACATGACTTACTGTTTTCCTCCAAACTAGGGGGGCACTTTGTGCCACACATACAATCAGTTTATCATTAGAAGCTGTTTCCTTTGTATGCTTACCGATCCACTGACACGCAATGCAGCTAAGATAGTCATCAGCTATACGCAATGATAAGGATCACCAGAGTGGGTAACTCACCGTATGCAGTCATTCCAGAGCCTACGAAAGGGAGATATCGAGATATGGTGAAGATGACACGAATTAAACCCCATGGCCTGGACCAGGTCCAATGCACCTGTAGGGAGTGATCAAAATCACAGTCGTAGATAGATCAGGTTCTTGACCTCATCCTGAAACGTGATGCAGTAATCAAACACCTGATGCGCCGAAAAGAGCCATCAATTGAGCTGGTAACATAACGAATGTGCTCGACACTCACGAGAACTGCAAGACCACCAACTGAGGATACAACATTGTCAGTGTCACTGTCTGCTTCACGGATCATCGATGATCCACAAGCACTTACTATTGGCGTACTGAATCAAACATCAAGTTAACGTCAAGATTATCAAAGTGCGATCTTTGCATACCTTAGATATCTGCAAATCTGCAACCTCTGAAAGATAAGACATCTCTGAAACAAAGATCAACCTGTGATGCTCTCGACTTGTTAGACCCGCTTGCAAGTCAGGATGGGCCAGAACCGCTAGAAACCCCACTTAAGTATGATTATTGACACAGGTATGATCGGGCTTCCCACACATTCCGAACATCTGTGATCATCCTGAATGGTTGCTTTTGGATCAATATAGCACAGAAAAGAGGACAAAAATGGAAACCGAGACGCCTTGCGATTGGGGACCACTTATGTTCGTGACCCACAATTGTGTTCGTTGGTACTTCATTGGAGCTGTGCAAGGTGCTACGCATAGCCTTGATGATTTCTTACCTGATGTTCAGTGAGGAGCCATCGATAGCTGTACCATCGAATTCGCATATACCTTTAGAAACGATCGTACCTTAAAAATATTTTCCCAAGGTGCCCACTCGGCGGCCTATCCTGAGGCCTACATCGTATCAGCTTGATTCACTTGGATTCTCACTGTTATCGGTGCTCTACCACGTATTGCAATTGTGCTTGTCCAGGCTTATCGTAACGCCTGCACTGTATCAGTTTTAATTCGCTCAGATTCTAGCAGGTTACAGTACTCCGCCACGTATTGCACTCGTAGGACTCTGCAATCGTCAAAACATAAAGGACCATCCGATTCCTATGTTGCAGTCAGCGTCTGATACAATATTAATCATGCATCTGCAGTCAACTGACCATGATGTTTTGTACTTTCCCAGAGAGTTGGGCGGCTACCAGGACATACAAAAGATCGATGCTTAGTTGGGTCAGGTTCGACTGGCTGGATAACAAGCATCGCGTGGAGTAGTGATAGTTGAATTCGCAAACTTCGAAAGATTGTTTACCATTGTGACCACAGTAGCCCAGCGAAGTACTATGTACCGAGGAACAATGATCGGCGCATTAGTGTCGTGCATATATCACTGATAGATATTGGTAATTAAGACGAGCGTCATTGTGGCCTATTGATAAAATGTTCATGCCCGTGGATCAAAATACTGGACGGATGCATCAAAGTTCGACATTCTTCGAGTGCAGTAATGAAGGAGCACAGACCCGCTCGTTATCTAGACAGATTATAGTATACATGCACGCCAGCTGGAACCATGTTTTGAAGCGGGCCCACACGAGGTTGGTGAGAGCTGCTGCATGGTCTGGATAGTCGATCGGACACTGGTACAAAGGACCAGAACCAACTGAAAATGCTGCACAGCATTGCCCAGGTGAGAGACCGCCTTGCTCATCATATATGCGGCAAATTGTGCATGGCCTGTATCTGCGTCTCGAGCAATGTCGCCATCTATGAGGGACTCAAGTTGGTGTTCCGTCAGCACAGGCCAACAGCCTGAAGATACTCACATCAAACAGTGCGCCATCATGATCGTCGCAAGCGTATACAACGGCGACCTTCGTGGTGAGGGAAGGGTGGACACCGCGAACGGGTGGAAAGGACAAAACTACGAAATGGTTAGTTTATGTGCATGGATGAGGAGTAAATCACTTACCAAAAGACTCATCTCCATTATTGAGTAGCTCATCCCACGACATTTCAAGTTCCCCGATGACTTCTCCACTGCCTAGCATTCGGTCAACCTGATAGGGCACCATGATCTCCACTGATAATGCAGATGAAGCATGTGATGATCTAGAAACCGAATATCAGTTCTCGAATTACGTCTTTAAACCAGCATGAACTTTACAGGGTCATTGTATGACCCCATACTACAGATACATTGAATGATAGTCTCTTCGGGTCAGTGTTGATGGATATGTAAATGCCTGTGAGTATGCGCTCAGGAGAGACCCGAAGATTCTTTCCGCTGATGACTGTAGACAGAGTGTGAGGATCACGAAACGGATACGGAAGTGATATGGAGTGACCCACCTTCAAGTTGGATTGATCAACCTTCTCAACTGCCTGACATGATGATGCGGTGAGGTGAAACCACGAGGATCAAGGATGGGTAGATTGATGAGTAGAATGATGCGTAGAATGAATTGTAGGGAAGATGGCAGAGGTAGAGATATGGGGAGTTTGGTTCAAAGGGGGAGTAAACTGCTGCCTGCGCATGTATTTCGATGAATCCGGTCGATGGCTGTTCGACACCATAGACGATAGGGTAATATTTTATATTAAACGCCGAGAAAGATGGCCGACTAAATCGGTTCACAAGACGGGCACCCAAGCCTGTGGAAGAAGTGGGCAAGGTCAAGGTCAGGCAGGCATCAGCGAAAGTGGCACGCCGAGGTTGAAGGGAAATACAAGTCTCACTGGCAGTGGCACTTACATTGCGTAATTTGCGTTGCAACCCAAATAGGGAATTTGCGACATTATGTGATTAATAATTGTTGCGTTCCATGCCATTTCAATACATGATTACTACAAAGACGAGATTTTTTACATGTTTTGTCTCCAAGAATACAAGCAATGGGATATTTTGTACCTATCTCCCTGCAAGCTTTTGTGTCCCACCTTCATTTTCAAGTGCTGCTATGCGATCTTTCTGCTGGACAGTCGTTCCCTTTACACCCACTATGGACGTTGCCCATCCCAATTAATATTGTATCACACATAAGCTCTCATTTTATTTTATTTTATTTTATTAAATCCAATTTCTGTCCATTTGGGGTGATATACCCTATGTAGGACATTACTAACTAGGAAAGGGGGACACCTGTGTCCCCCACCACGTCTCCAACTTCGCAAATGCCCTGATGGGGGGAGACTCCCACCAGTCCGCCATTCCCGCCAGCTGTTTCTGGCATGTTATAAGGATGATACAAGTACTTGAGTTGCTGGGCGACTGGCTATAATAGGAATGATGGAGTGCGGCACTGAAAAGTAAAGGAGGATGAGAGGAGTGTTTTGAGGGCGTGTATGAGTGGGCTGATTGGGTGGATGTCGCCTTGTTGACTGGTTCTGGTAAGGTCCTCCGAATGTCTCATCCTGCATTGAAACTAAATACCCCTTCCTCGACCTCTATTTCAACGCCATCTGATCTTCCATTCGAACCTCCACTTGGGTCCGGTTTCCTTCGTCGACGAGTACCATATACCCGGGTACAGATCCGAAGATCCGGATCTCAGATCCGATCCAGATCCGATGGACATATCCATTGTCCGGTCCACAGATCCGATCTGATTCTTATTTCATGTCCTGTTCATATAACTCTAACTATTGTTCATCTCCTTTTGGTATTCCTGTACACTGGTATACCAGTTATCCTTTACTTCCACTATGCTTACTGATCTGCTTTAACTTATACTTCATTCCCGTTCATGATTCGTGATCCATCCGACTTACCAATACGCTGTGCACATACTTTGCTTATACTTCATACATAGCCTTGTGCCTTTGCTTATTGATCATTCCGTTAGTTATCCGTAGTATATAAACCCTTGTACATGCGCTGTAGTAGATCAGTTTGAATATCATCTTAGATTGCACTCATTCCGTCTGGACTCTAAGTCCTTTCCGTTATCCGTCCGGACTTGAGTACAATACTCTTGTCTACTCCGAGACTTAGGATTGATTCCTATAGTCTATATATCCGCCTCTGTCTTCGGACAGTCCTCACCCATTATTTTCTAGTTCAGATCGTATCCAGATAAGCCGTTACTCTACATGTCCGATATCCGGAAGCCTTAACGGATCCATTACAATACTTATCCGTCTCACTAGACGCGATACTCTAGCACTCTGAAATAAGGGGCAAGACTTGGGAAAGGGGCACAGTGCATGAGCTGAGGCCAAAGCCCTTTGGATCTGATACCTCTTGAGTATGGTCTTAACAGAGGAATATCACTGAAGGTGGCACGCAAACGGCCTGTGCTATTGACAAATCGAATGAGCGGAGCACTTGCTTTTGAACTTGAAAGCAGGTAGGATACTGAGAAAGCACTGTGGCTGAGAGTTGTCGTAAGGATGTGCTGAGCCTGAGCATAATGGGGGCAGGAAAGCAGATAGTGGAGTATGGTCTCTTCTGTACCTTCACAATGTGGGCAGTCAGGTGTGGGACTCTTCCCTATTTGAAACAGATGCTGGTTTAGAGAGATATGTCTGGTATGGAGCCATAGGAGCATGCTGATGTGACATTTTGGGAGTGATTGGGCTAATGAGATGAACACGCCCTTGAGAACATTGGGGTCAATGCTGATGGTGTGCTGGTAGCATGGGGACTTCTGCCAAAGTCTCGCCCATTGTTCTGAAGATTCCGCCTTCTGCCTTTGTTTCAGTGCTGATACACTGCAGGGGAGGACACCTTTGCTCAGGTAGGGGGGGGAGGTGTTGTCTAAAGCTGGTTTCTCCTCTGGTTGACGCTGCTCTCTTAGCTTCCTCATCCACTATCTTGTTGCCCTGTACTCCATCGTGTCCCGAAATCCATCGGATGGTGACCTTGAATCTGTGATCACGGCTGGACCTCTTTGCATTCATTATTAAGCTAACGGAAATGGTCTATCAGGTAATGGCCTGGTTTCATCGAGAATACATCACCAGATTTAATGGTAGCCTGATTGTCCATGAAAATAGAAACTGGATATGTGACATCCTCTTCCTGGGAGAGAAGCTGCACAGCTAGAGTTAGTCCTACGGCTTCGGCCTCATAAACCTCATGTTCATCTGCAGTTCCCAGATGGTATCTTAAAGTCTCTGGCTGGGGTCTACCGGTCCAGTATAGCACTGCGGCTGCTCCTACGTTGTCGTTAATCCTGGAGCCATCACAATAGATCTTGATCTCGTCGTTAGATCTGTCGTGGTCTTGGTAAGCTTGCTCTTGTGAGGTGGTGATGGCGATTCTATATGGGACTGATGAACTTGGTGAGTGTCTGCTGTGCGTTATGGTCTCTATTGACCCAACGTCCAGTTCAGTGGCATGGAATAGATGATGGAGTGAAGACCTGTGGTGTTTGACGAGTTTCCTGGCCACCCTGCGCACTGGTCCATGTATAGGATGGGTTGGGGGATGTGCGGCCAGGCAGATGGCGGCCTGATATCACAGGTTCTGTGCTCGGTGTTCGAGAGGGAGCAGCTTCACATCAGCTTCCAGCGTGTCGGTTGCCGTGGTATGCATAGCTCCTGTGATGCTCAAGGCCACGATGCATTGGACTCTGCGCAAATGGTTGACTGTGCCAATTGAACCGTGTTGAGGTTTGTCTTGAGTACCCATGAAGAGAGGACAGAGCCATATGTCCACGGTGTATAACATTTTCGGTAGAGCTACTGCTAAATACAATTGACACATCAGTGAGAGAGGTATCCTGGATGAAGTAGAAGAAAGACGGCGCAGCTGGAATACATAAGCAGTTCCTTTTGCGACTGAATATGCAATGTGCTCTTGCCAATGAAGTGCCTGGTCTATTATGACTCTCAGGAACTTGTGGGTGGCAGTGGGAGTGATTGTAGTGCCGCAAGTCACAAGGGGTGGGTGTTCCTTGGCA